ATATAACGGGAAGTGATGCACGGTGCACGCCTGCATCGCATGCATCCCGACAATCAGAGCTTCTGCTACCCACCGGGGATAAGCTCCTCCTCCTTAAATGGTTAGATCATCAATATTTTTAAAAGCCGCCTCCGCTAACTTGTTGCGGAATCTCCCCCGCTGACTTCCAGTTCCACATTCAGTTCTCGATACCCGGGCAAGGGTGGAATCGCGTGTGGTGCCCAGCGCACGGCTGCGTTCAATACAACTGGCCGACCGAATGTCATGCAGGGGTTCGACTCCCCGCGCGCGAATGCAACAAGACGCAAATCTAGTTTTTTTTTTTGGTCTTCTATCTCTGGTGTTCATTCCAGCCTCCCCTTTCATTGCAAGCGGTCTGCAAGCCTCTCGTTTTCTTTTTATTCTTGTCCAGCCCGGGATTTTCGAAGAGGGGTAAGGTGCTCCTATCGCATTCGTAACATCCCAGGTATTGATGTGATTTTTCTGTGCCTATGCGGAGTTCGCGCGTCTTTTCGTGGCCTCCGAGGTCGTCGGTGCGTGCGGTACTATTACGCCGGATTGACCCCGAATGCACGACTGATCATTATGGCACCAGCATGTCCGAGTCCGCGATTCCTTGAACCCGCTTTCGGGAGATACATTTACATTTTTATATTTCGTGAGATCAGCATTCCTATTCTCGAATACGGCAAATTTACCGAGCACATCGATTCCGACGAGGCGCCGGAATCGGAGCATGGGATTGACTCGCAGACTCGCAGAGTTACTACGCTCAATAAATCCGACCACTTCCGGCCTCCGGCTTTCCCCGAAGCAGTGTCGATTCCGATCGCTCGATCCACCTATTTCCGAGTCTGCGCGGTGGGAGGACTCGTTCCGAGTGGGCAACCGGCGGGTGAGTAAATTCCCCTGACTCCAATGGTCAACTCGTCCGACTCGGACAATATTTAAGAGGTTGTCTATCCTCTTCCCTCAAACCAGCTTAGACTCCCTTGGTCAGTCGAGCGTCGAAGGTTTTTCCTATCCAGGGTTTATTGCAGCGAGACGACTGCTGTGACTCACTGCCAATCCCACTTGAATCAGCTGTATTAGATGATAAATACCGCCGATTTCACGTATGTAGAGCCAGCAAACCAAACACATCTCAAGCACCATAGAGAAACACTTATTGTACAAGGTAAGTCGAGACACACTACCGATAAAATGATCTAGGGCAAGAAAACATGTTGGAACTCGGTCATGAGCTCTGGCTGGTGGGAGCTCAGTCTGGTTGATAACTCAGCGCTGAAGCCTTCATGGAGTACACATGTCATTGCGTTCCCGATCTGAGAATCCCGAAAGAGCGAGGCGGTGGTTCGAATCCACCCTGGGACTTAAGCAACGAGATGGGGGATTTTTCTTTCCACCTGAAGTCAGAGGATCCGTCAACTTATTCAGGATTATAGAAGGGCTAAAGAGTCCTCTGGAGTATTGTAACTCACCGACGATAACAGGCATATCCGTGCTTCCCGGGGAGTCGGTGGTTCGAATCCACCAGAGGACATGAGTGGATATACCATCAGCAATTTGACATTTTGATTGTGGCGTTTCACGTGTTGTTTTGCGTTTTCGCGTTGTTCACCAAAATCGAAAGTGTTCCTCTGTGGGTTGGGAATGACCTACTTGCCTGAATTGGGGCATGGATGGGCGGATGGTAGTAGATGTCTGGAGGGAGGTCTAAAACCGCCCTGAACTTAGTGCTGGGTCTGGATGGTTTAATACGTTGTATAATACGAGAGGGTCCAGCATGCTGCTCGTCTAGAATGGAGGGCTTGTATAATACAATAAATACCGGCGCCGCCGGCCCGAAATTTTCGACGTATTAAATGTATTATACGTGTATTTAAGGCTGTATTTAATGTATTCTACTTAGCCCCAGTCCGCCGGGTCCCATTCGGCGTCCTTCTCGGTCCATTTGGAGCTCGACTGCTTCGGTGGCTGCAGTGCTGGCTGTGAAGTCGGCTGGTCAGATTTGCCCTGGTCCGAGTGGTCGGGGGCAAAAACTCGGCTTCCGCCAAGAAATGCGCTGAGGCTGTCTTGGAAATTCCATACTGCTCTGAAGTGAGCACCACGGCTCTCGCGTCGGCGGGACTGTGTGATGGGAGGGGAGAAAAACTCGGAAACACGGCGCATGTGGCCTGCAGATGATCGTTGTTAGCCGCCGGCCTCAGTTCCGAGTCATTCCGACCTCGATGAATTTAATGCTCTCCACATCCGGGAAGTGGTCTGAAAATTGCTCTACCATGCTCATAAGCTCTGTGTGCCATTCCCACTTCCTGTAGAAGACTTTGAGCATTTTATACCTATTAAATACATGGCTTCCCGGAGCCTCGGGGTATAAAATGTATTATACGCGTATTATACGCCCTTGTATAATACGATCAATAAATACATCAATTAAAACCCAGCACTACCTGAACTTCGGTCGCTCTGACGTTATGTGCTAATTATAGTTCGGCGTTGTCAAAATTTCATCAAAAATTGTTCGCGTTGCGCGTTGGGGCGTTTTCACGCGTTTTCACGCGTTTTCACGCGTTGTTTGGCGTTGTACAACACCACAATGGGAATGTCAAAAGTCTGATGACGGTCATTTTTGTTCCCCAGGATCTTCTCGCCCACCATGTCCTGGCGAGTTTCAGGAAGGTAGACCAATAAACTCAAGTGAAGACGCGGTCTAAAGTCATCCACCAAGACTCAAGAGTGCAAGGTCGCTAGACATGGAGAATGGCCTCGATATGTTAAGGGTGTTTGATCGCGGCATCTCGGCTGTACGCTGATTGGCTGCCACGTTTCGAAGCTCGGCCCGTGTCGCCGCCTCTTCCGCTGTGACCATCCCACTCTCCTCACCAGCTTTTTCCCGATTCTCTTGTGGAATGAAGCATGCTGCTCCGTTCCTCGTCTGTTCCCTGTTCCTTCTCGTTTTCCTTCAACTTCAAGCAGCAATGCCGACAATGGCCACGTAATCACCAACGGAGCCGTGCGTTCGTTGCTGGACATTCCCCCTTCCCGCTGACGTCCAGATGCTGTACAACAAAGAGTCTCTCTACCGGAGTTTTTCACTCTATCTCTGTCTGATTCAATCTGGGGCCCGAGACTGCCGCCTTTTCGTCTTGACTGCAGTTTCCTCCTCGACCCGGACCAACTGTGGCGGTTCTGTCGCAGCGGCCTCATATTTGACTTCCCCTATTAAGCACTTTCTTCCTCTCGCGACACTCCGTGTCCCTCACTCACCATCTGGGCCTCACGGTGCCGCATCTGATGTCCTGGGCTCCCAAGCCTGTTTTTTTCGAAGACTTTGTATTCTTGACTCTGGGGGCAAGATCGGCCGTGAACACACGTACCTGTTACTAGAGATGGCGCGTTTTACCTAAATCGCGCGCCAAGTGCCAGTTCCCGAGCCCTCCGGTGCAACACTTAGTAGATTCCCCGTGGACAGCGGGAGAGTTGGCAGGTCTTTCGGATGAAGGAGCATCGAGAGTTCCTGAGGCTGTGTTTCCCTCAATGCCGTTCGTGAGCGAGCGGGCGCGGGGTTGCCCGCTCTGCTTTCCGGTTCCGCCTGGCGCTCCCCACGTGCCTTGGCCCTCGACTTCCTCTCGATCTCGCTGGCAACGCATGCAACCAGCATGGCTCTCTCTCTACGTCTCTGCTTTGCCTGAGCCGCTCAGCGATCTCGCTCTCGTCGTCATCCGAGTCTCCTTCAATGTATCCATGATCCGGCGCGGAAACATTTCTTACTCGAAGCCAACTCACTGAGGATCCAACTCACTGAGGATCCAACTCACTGAGGATTCACGCTTCATACAGCCCCGCCACAGTCGTTTCAATCGGGCGTGGCTCACGGAGCACAGCTGTACCACTTACAACCTCTGTGCCAGTGTAAACGCACTGGGGTTCGACTCCCCGCGCACGAATGATTTGCCATTGGGTATCCTTTTTGAAGATAAGTACACCGGCTAATTCTCCGAATCGTTTGCAGCCTACTTGCCGTATCTGTTCATCTACTAACTCATCAACTGCTCGTTCGAGCCACCGTATATCGTATTACTGGATGTGTATACCTTTCGGCAAAATTGTTGACCCCATCCGGGTGTCCTTAACTCGTTGCATGTGTTTTACCATCGTTTGCAGCTTTCTCCCCCACACATCGCAGCGTTCAAATTCTTCTCTGTGCGTAGCACAGCTTCCGCACATACTTTCTCATGCATCGACACACCAAACTTTACTGAGGAACGGACACAGCACGGACTCGTGAGCCTACTTATCCTTTGTGTAATATAATCCCCAACATTCCGCTTCTTCTTACTTGCCTTTTTTTCGAGTTTTAGATTCGACTCTCCTCTCTTTAAGGGTACACAGATCGATTTAATGTAATACCACATCCGCCTCTGCTATGTCCCCTCTACCCAGTAGCTGCCCGCCCAGGTACCATCATCCTTCATTCGCTCCACACTCTCGCACTAATTTCGATACCCAACAAACGCAGTAATCGCGCCTTGGTGCACAGCGCACGGCTACCTCCCTTTCTTGAGCCTCCCGACTTCAATGGCATGCAGCAGATCGGGGTTCGACTCCCCGCGCGCGATTGTCCCGAAACATCCGTTATTTTTGCTCTTTTCTTCATGGTCACGTCCAGTCTAGTGTCTCAGGCCTCATCCTCCAGACCTTGCCGATCGAAGAATCCCCTCGGCGCCAGCAGACCGATTGGGATGCCCCTGGCACACAAATCACACATCCCCTCATCCTGATGTCCTCGATACAGTGCGTCCGATTGGATGCACGCGAATTTCGTCTGTATGTCACCTGCCAGGGATTCAAACAGCCCAGCTATATCTTCATCCCAGCCATATCTTCACCTCGCCGCCCCGGAGAATCACGTACTGCGTACGTACGTATTTATTCTAGTGGCAGAATCTCAACTCAGAAAAAAATGCTCTCCTATCGGTACCCAGACAAGGAATGGATCGTGTGTGGTGCGCGGTGCACGGCTGCTCTCAACACAGCTGAGCGGCAGAATGTCCTGCAGCAGCAATCGGGGTTCGACTCCCCGCGTGCGAATTGTAGAATGGATTTGTGTTTTTTGAATTTTTCTGTTCGTCACGACAGGGACCCTTTTTGCAACCTCTGAGTGTGACCGCCGATGCACAGTCCAAGATTTTTGCAAGTTTTCACCCTCGGTGCGTGGGGACCCTCTACACGTGTACCGTTGTTGCTCCACCGTCATTCAATCGAGCGTGGTCCACGACTCACGGCGGCATTGGCATTGTATGGAACCTTGACGTGCGCGATATCTGCCGCAGATTCGGGGTTCGACTCCCCGCAGCCGAAGAAGAAAGTATTGTTGTTTTTCTCTAGCTCGTGAACCTTCCAAATCAGCGAATTTCTGAGAACACCATCTTGACAGATCATTCGCAGGCATGCATTCCACGAAGTATGTTCCACTGCAGCCTTCGACACGATTAAATATTGTTCAGGAAGTCCCCAGTGTTTTCTGTTCAAAAGATGCGGATCTCCCCCCTAAATGCGTGCGTTCCCCATCACCGTTGAAATAACCAGAGAAACAAAAGGACAAAAATGACAGAGTACCCCGACCCCGTGTCGAACGGGAGTCGTCTGCCTGCCCAAAGTATGTATTACTGAGAGCAGCTGCGAACTGTTCGCCATCATTCGGGGCATGGATGGACTTCCCGAACTGATGAGAAGAGATGAATAAGTGGAATTGAATTGATACGTTGCGCTAGAGGAGTGGGAGACTGGAGCCCAAGGTAGTTCAATTTTCGCCTTGTTGGATGAGAAAATCCTCCCCGACTCGGAATACGCGTGGTCTCCGGGTACAAGTGAGGAGAAAAAGACGCTAGTACACCTCGCCCAACCCCGAGTCGAACGGCCTATCCTGCGCACACGAGGAGAGCGGCTCACAACTGATCGCACCTGCCGCCAGCCATTGGCTCGATAGGGGCCAAATGCTTCCCGGCAGGGTTGCCGATCACCATCAAATTGATCAATGTTTGCCACTCACAATTTCAAAGTCCGCACTTTCCCCTATTTTACCTCTCCACAAGGGGGACCAAAGATAAGAAAAATTGATATCACCTACAATTTTTTTTTCTGAGAGGGTCGGTGGACCCCCCCCCTCCCCACAGCCACCTGATGCCATCAAATTCCCATTTTGGGAAACAGCCTTGCCGAAAGCTTCCGTGCCAGACATACCACGACAGCAGTGTTACACGAATAAAGCCCAAATTATTCAGGAAGTGGAAACTTGGTTGCAGCAGCTGATATTAAGCCGGCAGGGGCGAGGAATTACCTTAGGTAATCAAAAGTGCAACAAAATTCCTTAGGTAATCAACCCACCAGCGACCGTGTTTGGCACGAGCAGGATCAGTGGACTGATCCCCATTATTAGGGGTGCTCGATTCTTGGCCCATCTCGCCCATCTTTAAAATTGCCCATCTCTGCTGTGATGATCCGACTGATCGTGACAACCAGCTGCCGCATTGCGTTGCGTCCTTTTTGATAAGCAGTATGCAGCGCACCAGAAAGACACAGTCCCAAGCCGATATCCCACACATTTCAGAGAGTTTTCTTACTTTTTCTATTGCACTAGAGGATCAACCTGATGAAGCTGACCTCTTGGGATATCATGAAGAGGGCCGGTTGCCGCAATCACTCGGATCATCAGGGCTCTATCGAACAAATAAGAGATGGTCAAAAATAAAATGGGCAGAAGAGCCAAGAGTTGAGCACCCATATTGGTTCACATTTGATGCTCATATGGACCTGGGAGATACTTTTGCAAGTCTGAATCCTGGGGGCAGCTATGTTGATATCCGGCTCCAAAAAAAAGTACATACAATTTTATTTTCTGACGGTCGGCCAGACCCCCCCCCCCCTACCCCATATGGCAATCTCTTATCTTTGGTCCCCCTTGCCTCTCCACGTCTTTCGCCTTCCACAGTGAGTACTCGCTCGTCTCGTCTCTCAATCCACTTCATCGTACACGTACCAGCCGTTGATTGTGTCATGTCTTTCGATACCGACACGAACTGGCCAGATCGCCTGGTCACGATCTTCACAGTTTCGCGCAGTATACATGGGTCGCTGAGGGATCGGTACTGTGGGCCATACGACAAACTGCTCAACTATTGTTTTGGCGAAGGGTTCGACTTCTTTGTCACTCCCCAGGCCCCTCCTGCGGATGATCCCGTCGATTCGATCATTTATCTTCTCGTCCTCGACAAGAATGGGCTCCCCATTCTTCTCATCCAGGTCAAGCACGACAGCCACCTCAACAATCCCTCTAAACGTAACGCAGCAGACACCCAAATGCGTTTGTGTTTTGACGAGCTGCTTTACACGTGCCCTTTGCCCACTCTACACGGTTTGAGCCTTCTAGGCACTAGGATGCGTGTCCACACCGGTAATACCGCGTCGATGGAAGTAAATCCACCCAGGGTTGAGCGGCCCGCCGGAAGCGCTTTGGAACCCTCTTTCCTAGCAAACCAGTGGGATCTCGACATCCTCTCGGACGAAGGTTTTCGAAAAATGAAAGAAATCGTCGACTTCATCAAACACCACAGTCTTGGAAGAGCTTGAGTACTCGATCACTTCTCACCTAGACAGCTTATCAATGCCCCCATAGATTGGACTGTTTGTTCTCCACCTGTGCTGACGCTCCGTGCGAAAAGTTTAAGGGTCTATTCTGCACCGTACTTGTTGGTTGTAAAGTCTCTCCCTCTAAATCCCGTTGTCCGAATCCTTTATACCACGTTCGGAGATCAGTGATGATTGACTGGCCTCTGATCGAATCCACGCATAGCCACGATATCGTTATTCGTTCCATGAACGAGATGGTTGCTCTCGTCCCATCCCCTGATAAGAATGTTCTTTTCTCTAATCCGGCCTCTTTTATCGTTCGTGACCATTAAAAGATTACGCCACTTTCCAGCACATGGGATACCCGCACATCTTGGTTCCCGTCGAGGTTTCGCTGCTCATTCCAGGACTTTTGTGGGATTATTCTACTGAGAAACCCGGCTTTCAATGGAAACCCACATGAAAAAAATGGTGTTATTTGGAAACCCTGCTTTCAGGGGTTCTCCACGGCCGGATGCCCGGGAAGGTGCCGAGGCAGTAGCACGGCATGTGGTCACATGATCATTCCGCTGATATTTTAAGTACACCCATACGGTATCATTACGCCTGAACAGCAATTCATAGACACGTTTTTTATGATATTAATCTCATTGTTGAGTTCTACCTGCATATGATTCTTGTTCTCTAGAATTGCTTAGCCGGACAATCCGGGTCACATTTTCCGCCGGTTGAATAAATTAAACCCTGTTTCGACACAAATCTGTATCCTACAGACTACGACTGCAGAGGTCACTTTGAATGATTGTGACCCTCCTGCCTACAGAGGGTGCATTTGTAAGTTTTACCTACCCGGGACTTTTTGGCAGGAGTGAAGCAGGCTTGGACTGGTTCTGCACATGAAACACCACAATTTTTTCCCTAGTTGCTATACATCCGAATTATAGCCCTCGGGTCAGGTGCATGCCACCATGAGTCGGAGTGAGTCCAGCTGGCGAGCAACATTGCCTCCGCTTAGATATTTAAAAACGGGGTGGGGCTGAACCAGTGCAAAATGTGTCACAGTGGCACCGAGATGATGAGCTAGGACCATTGAGATATACCAAAATTCATACTTACTTCAACCGAGGTTCTCCAGAGGCAATTTTTTCACCCGAGTTCTGCCAGGTTAATTGGACTGTGAAGGGCCACAAGATGAAATTGAGAATTGCAGACACTCATACAGCCAGCATATGCAGGTCACGGCCTTCATCTAGCGGTAGCAAGCAACCAAGATCCTCCGTGATTTTCATAGATGTCGAAAGTGATCCTGCAGTTGGGTTGTGCACACGGAATATATTGGAGCCCATAACTACTGCCTAGAGTCTAAGAGTAAGTACATCCCGGACAATTTCATTGATTTTAAATCCAGACTATGGTGTGATTCTGCCTGCCGGGTGCGTGCAATCAGGGACTTGTTGAGATTGTGGTCCAAGCGCGACGTGGTTTGTGTGGTTGACTTTAATTTGATCCGGTCAAGTTCAAACTCCGGCCGGCTCTCAGCGGTGATGTCGGAGGGGCTTTCAATTAGACATTTGAAAGATTTCTCCGAAAAGTGGGGTTTTTATTGAAAGCCGGGTTTCTCAGTAGAATAATCCACTTTTGTGGCCCTACCAACTTTCGGACGATCCTGGGGTCGTCGATGAGGTTGAGGGCGTTGATTCAGCCGCGCTGCTTCACACTACCGGGGCGTAATTCTAACGTCGCGGTCAGGTTGCAACGAATGTCCAGCCCACGGGTTGACATCCGCCTCCTCAAGCTGACCGTGCAGCTCGTGAACCTTCCAAATCAGTGAATTTCTGAGAACAGTATAATCTCGACAGACCCTGATCCTCTTTCGCACGCATGGGCGTAAAAACAAAATATGTATATCCCCGGCTATAAACGCCGACTCGAACGGGTGTCGTCGCCTGCGTGGGTGACTATCAGTCCATCGAATTCTAACGCGAGTATTCTGTTTGGTATTGTTGGCAGTGACTTACTAATATCCCAATCATTACGCGATCCAATACACTTCAGTAAGCACCATGACGTGGAACTAGGATAAACGGTCAACCTTGGAAGAACGGGACACTCGAAGAATGTCAATCCTTCTACGAGATCCAGCTAGCGAACAGTATATAGGGCTGCCTTTGACAGAGGGGCTTCATCCGCCATTTCAATGGTTTCCGTATCACCGGCGCTGAAAGAAAAGTTCGATCGCATTCTGGTGAGTACGACATGAAAGTCCTCAGCCGAACAACTTTTGTTGAAAAACCGAGAATGTCACTAGGCGGAGGCGGTTGAAAGTAGATCGACTCCAGCTCTCTTCTTTGGAATTACGACCGCGGATGGGGAGATATATTCGAATCAAACTGGAACCAAACTTGTCGACGACAGCTCGAGCGGGTCTATCAACGAAGATACAGTCTTTTGTTTGTTCAGCC